CGAATTCGCGCTTTTGTCTCCCCAAAACCAGGCTCCTCTTGGTGCTAGGTGTTCCTACCCTCAAGTTATCTCTTTTCCCGAGATTCCAAGTCTTAGACCACAGCGAGGGCAAGAAAGCAAGATGGGGCAGAAAGCGCGAGGGAGTGGAACGCAGAAATGATGTCTGCTTACAGCAAACAGTTTTAGCAGATGAGGGCTTGGATGCGAAACTTTACCAGGTAAACAAAAAGAAACATAGAGGAAAGGGGGTGGAAGGGTAGCACTAAAGACCAAGAAGAAAGAAAACGGTAAGGACTTGCTCCATCCAGCCTAGCTTCAGAAAGCAATTCTGCTGCAGCTGCAGAGTGAGCTAAACTCCGAGCTCTGCTTGTCCTGGGCAAGAGCGCCCTCACGTTGCTGCTCTGTGCGCAGCGCCGGGTCGAGGCCTCTGCGGCGATTGCGGCCGGGCGGATCGGAAAACTCCGGTCCTGCAGCCAGTCCGATTCAGCCCAAAACCCAAGAAAACAAGGCCACCGGCCCGCGCCGCACGACTTCCAGTCCCGCCGCGGCCCCCCTCTCCAGCTTCACCCCAGTGACCCTGAGGCCGGGAAGGCCAACTGGACACCGCAGCACAGACCCCAATTTCGCTTCGGCGGAGCCAACCTGCGCCTGGCGCGCTCGCAGCCACCTTGGGACCGACAGGCTCTGGAGCTTACACCGTAGGCTCCTAAGTGTGCATTAAGAATCAATTATTTCCCTGATACTTCCAAAGCCCGGAACTGAGATAGTCCCAGTAGGAATAAAGTCGAGCCCAGAACAGTGCTCATTTCCCTGGTCTTTCGAAGACACAGAACTCGCCCACACTCGTGCTGCGCTGCACTCGAGCTGATGCGGCCCGGTTAACTCTCGCAGGAACCCCGGCCAGACCCGGGCGGAACCCTGGAGACGCAAGGCCAGCTCTGAGGGAGACTGGCAATGTTAGTGTGGAAAAAGGCCAAAAGGCGTTTTAACAAAAGAAAAGAAAGGAACATTTTTCCCCCCCAGAGAGGGCAGTTGTTGTCTCTGAAGCAAAGAGCCTTATCTCAGATAGGGAACGCAAATAATTCTGGACGTGAACATTAATAGTCCTCTATTTCTCTCAGAAGCGGAAGACTCAGAAGTCGTATTTCCATAAAATGAATAGCACTTTAGAACCTATTTTAAACTTCCACGTCCTTCTCCATAAGAATTAATCTCGTTCCGCCCTCCCATGTCTAAACCTCCCTTACTTGGGAATCCACCGTGATTTCTATCAACGTGGAAGAATCATGCATTCTTTCATCTATGTCTGCTAGTAGTGCCCTCGCTAGGAACATTTTCCAAAAGAACATGAACACTGCAGTCCAGAAACTGGAGGCTGTGGTTCAAAGCTCCTTCCAAAGCCCTCAGCAGGACTCACTCCCCACACCAACCTGCCCGTGGAAAAGCACTTTCACTCACCAGTCTCAGTGGAAGAGCGCTTCCAGTCCTCAAGTCTTTTTTTGCTCGGCATCCATTGGACAAAAACCTCAAGCCGAGTCCTGAGTGGGGGGAAAAAAACAGATAGAAATTGGGAGCCAGCAAGGAAACACAAAATGTTACACTGTATCATATATTCGCCTGCCCGGGACCCCTTGGTCTCCGGCACCTAAACAAGGTCCCAGGAACTGACCGCCAGAGTGGGAAACGGTCAGTCACTTTGGGGTCTGAAAATAAGAGGCCACTGGCGTGGGGGAGGAGTCGAGAAGGAGAAGGGGGAAGTATGATTCGGACAAGGAAAAGAAAATCTTCCTTAAAAATACACCTGGGGAAAAAATGGAGCACAAACTACAACCCAAAGACCTCCTGGGCCCTGTTAACTCTTACAGGTAGGTAGAATGCGTGTTGGCAGGAAAGAGAACCTAGATGGCCTCTATTCTTTCCATATCTCTAGGATCTGGCCTTGAGTGGAAACAGAAAGAGGAGGGAATTCTAATTTGAGTTTCACCTACCCTGCTTGTTGGAGTGGCTGCGCAGATTTTCACGTTGGAGAGTCCCATCCTCCTGGCAGAAGCTGGAGTGGTGTGGGGGGCAGGTTATCTGCTGAAGTAGGACTGCACAGGAACCCCGCCCTCTAGGCACAGTTACACAACCCCAGCGCCCCGTCTCCGCGAGCTCTGAAACTTCTCACGATCTTCACCTTCACCCTTTGTTAGCCTAATTCTCCAACGGAATGTCGTCTCAAATACAACCAGTCATTTAGTTATTCATAAAATTAATTTCTCAAAAGCAAATTGTTTCAAGTCATGCAAATTCTTCAACAATGGTGTAGAAACTACATGTTAAAAAACCCCACACTTTTATATACAGCTCTCCATAGAGTGGATTTATATACCTGTTTGAGAAAATATTACCAATTTATTAAAGTTAATACATTGCAACACTCATGCTTTGCCTCTCTCACTTTGATTCAAGTCACAGAAATCACATGAAGGCGACCATGATCATAAGGATATTTGTATTAAATAGTTCTAGAACTTATTATACTCATTGTATTTCCAACTTTGCAACAGACCAAGGAAACATGTCTGGAAGAATTCCTTACTGTTCCAGTTTACATCATTTGCTCATTGTTTTATATACTAGTAGTTTTTATTAACTTTATACTAGATAAATCCAGGGAAATTACTTTTAAACTTGTGTATAATTTGAAATCTCAAGTTTTAAGTTGTGATCATTTTTAGTTCCAAAAATTTCAAAAAGGGCTACCACTTATCTCAGTAAAGACAATTTTAAGTTAAAAAGAAAATAGTCTTCACAAAGTTTGAAGTATTTTTCTGGCAAGAGGTAATTTTAAATGACAAAGGCTGGTGACAACAAACAAGACAATATTACAATTGATTGGATTCAAAAGTACTTTAAATGTCAGCTCAGATTGTCATTTGTTTTTTAAAAAGATATCTTGAGGAATTATAGGCTATATCAAGGTAGATGGAATGCTCACATTAGGCTTTTGAAGGCCTTGCAAGCTTTCTTTTTGTACAACCCCCTTCCTGTCTAGCATGCCTAATAAGCGAACTTCTAACCATATCCGTTATCTATGTAATTTGGTTATGTGTTCAGGTACAACTATTCCAGCACTTAGTTCCTGTGAAGGAAAAGAGGCCAGTATTATTCTAGACTTCAAAGTTTGCCTTAAAAATTCTATTTCTCTGTCATTCAAATAAACACTTGAATCACAAATAAATATTTAATATATAATCAGAGTGAAAACTGATTGCATGGAAGAATTTTTTTTTTCTGTATCTAGATCCCTTTCCCCTCCAGATGAGGTCAGCTTTCTTTTTAACTTTTATTATGTGAAAATACTATAAATCCCTTGTGATAATCCATTCTCATTCCACAAATAAAAACCATGACAAAAGTAAACAATAAATCATCACCTTTTCCCATCCTAACCGTATGTCTTTCTTCCAGATATTTTGGATCATAACTGTGTAACAGGGAATTCCTTAGCCTACCCTCAGGACAGGTACCCATATTTATTTTATCAGCCATAAATATGGTTTTTAAAACAATGATTTGTGAATTTTTCTTTTATCCTTCTGAAGAACTGTTAAGTTTCAAGAAACTTAGATCTCTGTCGCATATATTCTCATAATAAGAAAATAAAATCATGTTCACTCTGCTTAAAGAAGATAATTAAACTAGCTGCCATCCACTTTTTGCTTACACCCCATATACTTGGTTCCAGTTCTTTTAATCTTTCTCTTTTTCTGTCCACCTACTCTCATTTTCCAATATTAACCATTCTGCATTTCAATATCAAATCTACTTCAGTCTGCTGGCTGCTCCCCTAGCCCCACTCCCCTCCAGCAACTCTCTGCTGGCTGATAACATCTTAAGGACAGATTATTTTTCATTGGGCCCATTGTAAGAAGTAGCCAGCTTATTGCATTACTGCAGAACACATTTCAGACTATACAATTGTAACAAATGAACAACTTGTCCTCTACAGACTCACCACAGGATCCAATTAAGTTACTAAATCTTTTACTCAGGTTTTCCAATTATTTTTTTTTTTAAATTATAGCATTTGGGCTGCCTGAAACGATTAAAAATGCTTTCATTTTTCATATATATGCATATATTTACATACATATGCATATTCCAAGCTAAAACAAAGTTATGACTCCGTGTAAGCAAAAGGAACAAATCTTTAAATTATACAGACATATGTAAAAGAGAATCAAAGAAGTACCTCTATGTTGTAAAAAAAAAAAAAAAATGAGGAAGAAAGGGAGAGAGAGAGGCATGTTGCTTCTTCTGAATATCTAGAATTTTAAGTTGTTATTATTTAAAATGAAAACATTGATCTGCAAGCCATTACAACAGGTGATCACTTCAGCAAAATCTATATTGCAATTTCAGCACATCTTTATTAGAACTCTTCCATTGTGGGTAAACAGCCACAAAAATAAATGCTGACTTAGAAAGTATAAATACAAATATTTAAACAAAAATGTTTGCAGCATTCATAGCGCAAGTTGTACCTGAACTGAAGGGCTCTGTGTATCTCTATATATTACATATGTGTTTATTATTTACTTCTATCTAACCATATACATATATTTATTTATAATTTGCCAAGTGCTATAAACAAGATACCTGAAACAAAGTATATAAAAAGCATTCTATTAACTGATTTTTTAAAATAAACAGCAATGCACATAAAATTAAATATCTTTTTTTTTTTTTTGCTGTATATCCACAAATACGTAAAAGATATCAGCTGAAAAGCCTATACTTTGTTTAAAGCTAGCATTTATTAAGTAGCTTACTCCTGGTAAAATTTGTCCACAAAGGGAAAAGAATTCTATTTCCATTTTTAGAGTAGTAGCAGTTCAAATTAGAGGAGCAGCTTAAATCTTAGTCTGGCCAGAAGAGCCGTTGAATTCCCTATAAATTGAATGGTCTTTTAAAAATTAGCTCTACTTAATAAAAGACACAAAAGTATCAAGATATATATGAATTTAGCCTATTTTTTATTTCTGTGTGTTCATAGTAAACATTTTTGTAAGTGACAAACACGGGCATATGACCACAGTATCACAATCAAGAAATTTTAAGACAACATTAACAATCACTCAAATTTATGCGGCATGTGCGCAACACAGGTTACATATTTGCAAGGTTTACCTATAAGTACAATAGGTATTAACATTTCACTACATTTAGAAAAAATAAAAGTGACCTGTTAGTGACCACATACATCAAAATATACACAACACGAACTGAAGGCAATCGTTAATTTTGTCCCCTTCCGATTCAATTGAATGGGCAGCGTTGCCAACTGAAAGGACTTTCCTTGTTTGTTTGTTTTAATACTTAGTATACCAAGTGCATTTTCTAGAATCCAATCTTTGGTCTAAAAGTAAACAAAAGGGGGGAAAAAAAGAGAGCTCTCTAAAGAAAATGACAAAACAAAAGATGGCCAAAATAATTTCTTGGGCACCTTTACTACGAATGCTTCTTAAATACAAATTACAGTTTAACAGTTTAAAAACTCTCCCCATAATTTAGGTTGTTCTCAAGGTCTGCGTCCACCGGAGAGATCCATGATAACTTATAATACTGCACACATGGAAATCTGGCGGCTCTCAGAGACAGACTCGTCAGGTTTGAATGAAATGGCAAAGCAGTCACTATTTAGATACACATTCTACTATAATTTTGACTTCCAAACCTTATATTCTACAGTGTCTTCTCCCCACATTGCACCTCGCTGACACTCCACACCTTGTTAGAATAATAAACAACCCTAAAGACTGAACGAACGTACAGAAACGGTAGGGGGGCTTCATAAAAAATACCTGGACTTATCTTTCATTATCATTTACAATGCAAATGTGTGTAAAACGTTCACTTACAGTCTGGTCCCAGGGACGTTAATGTATTAATGGGTTGGAAGAAGACCCCTGGTTTTGATGTGTGAAATAATCAGACAGTCCTCCGGACAGTCCCGTCGTAAAACTCGGCAAAGAGGGTCTTAAGGACTCGCAGGGCAGGGTGGAGGGGGCCTGCGGCGACGTGGAGGAGGAGGCGGCCCGGGCGCTCATGGACGTGCTGCTCTGCGAGGTCATGGACGGGTGCGGGACGTGGGGGAAAAAGTAACTGGTCTGGCCCGCCAGCAGGTTGACGGAGCAGGGGTTGAGGGAGTAGGTCCCGGAGCAGGGCACCGACAGGCCGCAGGGCACCGAGGCGGCCAGCGCGGCGGCCGTCAGGTGGTGCGTGGCGTAGGGCAGCTCGCCGTTCACCAGGCGGTCCACGCTCAGCCCGTTGGCCGAGGAGAAGGAGTGGTTGTTGCCCAGCGAGTTCTGAGTCAACACCGAGCTGTAGGGCATGGGGTGGCTGGGGTAGGCCGACGTGGTGCCGTTGTAGCTCAGGGTGCTGCTGGCGCGCGGGTGGTGCAGCGACAGGAAGGGCGACATGGGCCAGTAGAGGGAGCCTGCGCGGTCCATGAAGGTGAGGCCTGTGGAGGTGAGGCGCGCCCCGCGCTTGAAGGCCAGCTTGGCGCGCGAGGTGGTGGAGCGGCGGCGCAGCTTGCCGGTGGTGCCCCCGATGAACACGTCGTCGCTCGACGGGTCGAGCATCCAGTAGTTGCCCTTGCCCGGGTCGTCGTAGTGGCGCGGCACCTTCACGAAGCACTTGTTGAGCGACAGGTTGTGGCGGATGGAGTTCTGCCAGCCCTGCTTGTTCTCGCGGTAGTAGGGGAAGTTCTTCATGATGAACTCGTAGATGCCGTTGAGCGTCAGCCGCTTCTCGGGGCTCTGCCGGATGGCCATCATGATGAGCGCGTTGTAGCTGAAGGGCGGCTTCTCGTACTTGCCGTTCTTCTTGTCGCCCTCCTTGCCCCCCTCCCCGTCCTTGCCGCCCTCGCCCGCCCCCTTCTTCTCCTCCCCGCCGGCGGCGGCGCCCTTGTCCTTCTCGTCCGGCCCGACGGCCGCCAGCTCCCCGGGCCCCCCGCCGCCGCCGCCGCCGCCGCCCGGCTCGCCCTTGCCGCCGCCGCCGCCGCCGAGCGCGTCCACTTTGGCCCCGTCCAGGGCGGCGGCCGGGGGCGGCGGCGGCGGCGGCGGGGGCAGCAGCAGCTGCTGGGGGCCCTTGTCGTCGTCGGCGGCGGTGGCGGCGGCCGGGGCGCCCCGCGCCTGGGGGGGCTGCGGGGCCGGGGGCGGCGGCGGCTGCTGCTGGGGCGGCGGCTGCGGAGCGGGCGGAGGCGGGTGGTGGTGGTGGTGGTGGTGGTGGTGGTGGTGCGGGGGGTGGTGCGCGTTGTGGTGGCCGTGGCTGGCGTGGTGGTTGTCGTTCTGGACCGCCTCGGGCACCAGGCTGTTGATGCTGAACGAGGACTTGGGGATCATTTTCACCTCTTTCCTATCTCCCATGTCCAGCATCACCCAGGCGTCGGGGGGCGGCGGCGGCGGCGGCGTTGGTGCGGGAGCCGGGCAGCGGCGCAGGGCTGCGGGCGCCGAGCGGGGCGCGGGGGGCGCGGACGGCGGCGGCGGCACTGAGCGCTCCGGCAGCAGTGCAGTTGGACCGCAGGCTCGGGCGCTGGCAAGTCATGTAGCAAAAGCAGCAATCACCCCTCAGGAATTAGAAAAAAAGGGGGGGGGGGAGGAAAAAAAAAAGAAAGAAAGAGAAAAAAGAAACAACCACCGCCCCGGGGGTGAAGCTCCCTAGCTCCCAACTCCACTTCTTGGTCTCCCCCCCACCCCCCGCTCCCCCCCTGCTGCTTCCTCCTCCTCCTCCTCCTCGTCCTCCTCCTCCTCCTCTCGCCCTCCTCCTCCTCCTCCTGCTCCTTCTCCTCCTCCTCCTTTCTCAGCAGCAGTCACCGCAGCACCGCAGCAGCCCAAAGGGGGGGACAGGCGGGCGGCGGGCGGGCGCGTCCCGGAGCGGCCGCGGCGAGGCTGGGGAGACAGCGATCGAGGCGGCTATAGCCACAATTAATTTTCCGAGCTACAGGCGCACACTAGGGCTGTAAAAAAATTTTTGGTTTAACCTTTCCTACCGCTGGGCCAATCAGAGCCGGCGGCGTGCGGGAGCGTCTGTGTCGCCGTCCACCAATCGGAGGGGCCGGGCCCACCCACCCCCGCCCCGCCCGCCGGCTGCCGCCCCCTCGGGCGCTCACCGCCCCCTCAGCACGCGCGGGGCTCGGACCGGCGGAGCCGCGCAGGGATACTCCGGGGAGCAGGCGCGCCGCAGCCCGGCTCTGCACCCCGACACTCCCTGCGCCCCGCCGGCTCCTGTCCTGCGAACCCCCTCTCCTAGGGCAGACAGATAGCTCACACTGCCGGCGTCCTTCTTAGTGTATTGGGCCATTTGTGCTTGAGCGTCAATATTTGTCCTTATTGATTAAAGTTTGTATCCAATTTTATTTTTAAAAGCGGGGGTGGCGGTGGGGACGGAGAGGGTGGTGGAGGGAAGAGCGGGAGTGCAGGGAGAGGATGCACGCAGAATGCAGGAAATGGAGGAGGAAGAAGCCAGGCACTACTTTCCAGTCGGCCCTGCAGGCCCGGCGCTGGCGTTCTCAGCCCGCAGCAAAACTGTGCCCCGGGTCCAGCCGAGCTCTGCTCCCGGGACGCGGGAGGCCCACCCCGGCCTTGCGTGCCGAGGGCCGCCCCGAGGTTGGGGAGGCGGTCGGGAGAGGTCTGGACCCCTTGGGAGGAGGAGGAGGAGGAGGAAGTGGCGGGCTGCGCCGGGCCAAGCAGGGGTTACTTACTCGGTTCCAGAGGCCCGCGAGGCGGCGAGCTCCGGGCTGTGGCGCGGCGGGAAGCCGGGCCCGGGGCTGCGGCGGCGGGCAGGGGCGGCTCAATGGTGGGCGCCTTTGATGGCCTTCCGAAATGCAAGGTGCCCAGAGAGAACACAGTACCAAACAATCTTGAAATAAACCAGGTAACACATGCTCTCTATGTGTGTCTCTTCCTTTCCTTTCTCTCCGGTTCCGAGACCTTCGCTCGCGCGCGGGGTGACTCGGTGGTGTGCTCCTCACGGCTGCGGATTCTCCTCGGCTTCCAGTCAGATTGGAAAGCGAGCAGTCGCGAGCGATCACCTTGGAAATATTTTCATTTTGCTTGTTGACATTGGAGGGAAAATAAGAGTGGGCGTCTATTTTCTTTCCATTTTGTAAAAACGTGGCTATATTCACTCCCTCTTCAGTCCTCCCATTTCTCAAATGCTTTATTTCGTAAGGACTGCAGTCTTAAAATATCGGTATGCCGAAGTCAGCCCTTGCCCACCCTGAGTGCTGCAAGAAGGCGCGTAGGAGCCTTGGAAACGTGGATTGCACAATTCCAGCTTCTCGGGCTTTGGAACTGGGAAGGTTCAGTAGAAGGTTGAAGTGAGTGGGAAGATTGTGATTCGGGGGCTTTAAAAGGATCCCGTGGCCAGGGGCAGGGCTAAGGCCCAGCATTTCCCAGGGATTGGAATTTAGTGCGGAGCACACTGATCAAAGGCTGTTTCATCCCACATGGGCAGGAAACACAACATTTTACGAAAGATGTAGCCCAAGAGCACTAGGAGGTGGAGAAGCCTAAATGTAAAGCACCTCTCTGAAGGGAATCATAAAATATAAGCATTTGTTTGCTTTGATAAACTCAGATAAATGGGTTGACAGATTTGGTATCAAACAAAACAGATGAAGGAAAAATGGTTCCTATGAATGATATTAAATTATAAAGAAATACAGCAGATGAATACTCAAACTAATAGGGAACTCTTCCCAACCCCCAACTTGAGAGAAAGAGAGAGAGAGACAGAGACAGAGACAGAGACAGAGACAGAGACTTTTTGGAACAAAGTATTGCAAATTGGCAGGGAATGTAAATATAGATCTATTAGGAATGCCTTAAAGGACCTTTGACTATTAGGCTGACCTCAAATATACTTTCACTCTATGTGTATATGGCCTATGTACAGATAGCTTCTTATTTTACAGCAAACTATATTTGCATTTGGAAATTTCTAGCATTCCACAAACCAGCATTCATGCGTGTTGTGGCCACCAATGTTGATTTCTAAACTCAGTATATCTCAGCGCGGGGTGCCCGCGGGCTTTGCAAAGGCTGGAGAGGTCCAGGGCCTTACTCCTCTGTCTACTTCTCCTTCAACTCCAGTCCCGCCTCCTGCCTATTTCTACTTTCCTCAACTCTCTTTCCTGCCTCCTCCCCTCCTTCTCCCTCCTTCCCAGTTCGCTCCCCCCCCCCCACCTCTTCCCTCCTCCCTCCTTTCCTCTCCCTCTCTCCATTCCTCCACCTACTCCTCCTCATTTCTCCCCCACTGGCCCCCCTTCCTACCACCACTTATAATGGCACACAGGGCTCCCTCTGAGGTGGACTGCCCGGTACGTTTTCGTAGTCGGTCTAGCGTGAAATGATTCGGTGTAACCGGATTCTTGGGAAAGGACAGGTTACGTAAACATTTACTGATGTGGAGTAACTATACTATTTGTACTCTGATATGCAGGAAGGAAAGTGTTGATTAACACAGAAGAAAAAAAAGCGAAATTAGCTGATTGCATGCTCATAAGTGCAAGCTGTCATTGAACTGCTTTTAAAATAGACACAGCTGGGTGTTTGTGTTGAAAAATTTCTTGTGTTTTTGCTAATACTGAAATAAGCATGATTTTGTATACCAAACATTTTCAGATCATTAAAATTTGTAATCTGTGCTGGTTTTAAACACAAAGAAAAGAAACAGAATCATTTCGATGTAAAATTTGCTGATATTATATTAACTCAATCAGGTCTGTACAAATTGTGCATTGTGCCTCCTAAAATCTGTTTGATCAATTTAATACACAAAGTGCCAAACGTGGGTATTGTTTGTTAACATTGGACATTTTATTCAAATCTGAGCTCAGCAGCAAACTGGAGGAGCATTTCTTGAATACAACACCAGCTTGGGCTGATGAATTTTTAATGATTTAAGGTGTTTCTTAGGTCAAAGCTGAATGTGTGTTTAGTAATCTTGTGTAAGATTTTAGCAGGTGAAAATAAGTTTTTCTTCTATTTACTTTCAAGTAGCAAAAATTGGGGTTTGCTAATGAGAGCTGCAATAGTCTGATTTTGCATTCCAGGAGCTCATACTGACTGGGAAAATGTTATGCATGCAAACTAAGAATGTCTTATGTTACTTTAAGGATTATATGAATGTAAGTCTCTCAAATTAGCATGGTTTTATAGGACTGAATAAAATTGCTTTATATGTTAATATTAAAAGTCTGTTCTCCTAATGCAAAGGCTACTTGCAATTTTTGAGGATGTGAGGTTTATTTTAATAATTTTAATTTCACTATCAGACTAGGCATATAGATATAGATAGATAGCAGGCTTATTCCAGAAAGCATGCACTATTTGCTCAGCAGGCCATGTTTGTGTCAGCAATGGCTTCTCTTTAGAACTACTATCTGAAATGAAGGGGGAGGGGGCTCCTGGGCAGAGTATTGTGCAAGTTGAAAGTCTCTGGACAGGGCTTTGTATATCCTACTGGCCAATTTGGGTGCAAATTGGATTTGAAGGCCTGCTCATCTCTGCCTCAGGCCTCTTCCTGCAGCATATAAAGCCTTAGTTTCAACCCCCTCAGTCTCTGTGATTACCTTTAGAAGAAAGAGGACAACTAATAGTCTCAGACTGGAAACAAATTATTCATCATTCATTTTTTCTTATAATCAATTTAACCTTGACCTCTCACATGTATCGATCTACAAGTATATGTGTTAGCAAATAAAATCAAAACTCAGAGCAAATGTAATTTTTTGGACTTTATAATGGTAAATCTTCTTTGTCTACAGGCTTTAATTAGTGCACCATGCCTTGTAGATAGGCCTTGTAAAGTGTGAGCAATTCCAACAGGAAAAAAAAAAAAGTTTGGAAAATAGGTTAGCCCTTCTCAATTAGTAACAAGGGGTCCACAGCATAACTTCATCTTGAGTAGGCAATGGCATATTCATTTTCCAACTTGGCCCTCCTTGGGCCTGTTTTTCTCTTTTGTCTGTGGGTCCCTTGTTTTCTCCATGTTACCCAAGGTTAAAGAGAGTGGGTCACATTTACCTAACCTCTATCTACCTTCGGCTCCCTGGACGACGTGGCCTTGGATTGCTCCAGCGCCAAACTCCACCTGAAGCTCTTCCTTAGCGTACACGGGGAAGATTCCGACCCTGTGACTTTGGGAGCCAGCAGATTGCTTGCAGAGTCATCCAGGTATTTCCAGATATTCTGTAGCGAGCGAGCGAGGTCTGCCCTCGCCAGAGCCAAACGTCTGTAATCTTTTCCTAACAGCAGGTAATGGTGCTAACATTCCGTGATTAGAAGTTACTCTTTAGCGTGTTGTATCCTTGTTCTGTGGGTTTTGGTTACAGGTTATACGATTAGGTTTGCGAGAACAGTAGTGAACTAAACTTCCCAGTAAGAGGTCTTCACACCAGGGAAGTGTTACTTTTCTGCAGCAGCCCTGCCTCTTCACTCATTAGGGAGCTGCAGGTTGTCAGCTGCTGCTCTGAAGCCCGCACGCGCCCGCGCGCGCCCGCGCGCGCCCGTACCCTTAACGTTCTCGGGGGCGCGCACATGAGCATGGCTCGCGCATCAGAGGCATGCACACACGGCACTAAAACTAAATTAAGAAGCCGATGATTAAGACAAGCGTCTACTAGGCCTGTCATTTCAGCATCCTTCCATCATAACATTGTGGCACCGGCAATTTTGCTTGAGAACCTCGAGAGAAAAAAATCTAGGGGAGAGCCTCATATTTGAGAGTGGAAATGTTTAACTTGTACAAGCTGAGGAACCACTTTGGAAGTAAAAAAGTCCAAAAGTGAGTGGATGGGGGAGGGTGGGGGGATGAAGTAGGAGGAAGAGAAGAGGGAGGAGGAACGTGGTCTTCTCTGAAACCCTTGCCTTCTCCAGCCAAGGGTCTCTGACAATGCCAGAAATTCCAGGCTCTCTGAAGCCAAAGGCACATTCAGAGGGAGGGTCCGGTGATCTTTAGCAAAATGTACCAAGAAGCTTTATCTCAACATTAACTGAAGAAGAGTCAGGCTCAGAGAGATTACCACAAAACATTACCACCTGAGGACAGAGACCCTTTAGTCTCTCTGGACAGATTCTCAGTAGAATGTTCTGCACTCTCTGGTAAATAGACAGTTCCCACTGCCTTTCTCCTTTTTTCCTATATTTGCCAGCAGCTGGAGAACAGAGGGGTTGACAATTTGTAGGAATTGAAGCCCAAGTAATGTGATATCAGGCCTTTGCCACTTACAGATATGGTCCAGTTGAGAAAAATGTCCCCATATTACCTGTGCAACTGTATGCTAGAAAGCCAATTTCTAGTTTTTTTTTCTAGCTGTCCAGGGAAATGGCAAAGTCTGTCCTTCAAAAGGACAGGGAAAGCTCAAGAGAAAAGAGTTGGAGAAGTGGTCCTGAAGTAAAAATGGAAGCTAGGGCTCCGATGCTTAGAGCTAACTCTCCAGAAGGTAAAACTGTGCTACTTTGGGTTTTCCATCAGTGGGACACACACATAAACACACACACACACACACACACACACACACACACACACACACACACAGAGAGAGAGAGAGAGAGAGAGAGAGAGAGAGAGAGATTTCATAAATATTAAGCTGAAGCAAAAGGTACAGTCCTCAAAATGCTGGGCTCCTAAGCGCCAGTGCTCCAACTACCCCTCTCTGTTCCTAAATAGTTGGAACACCATTAACATTTCCAGTAGGAGCCTGAATCATCTACTTTGGGATTTGATATAAGACCCTTCCAGGAATGTGAACATAAAATTACATTGTTTTGAAGCACCTTTCCAAATGGTTCCCAGATTTCAGTTCTGACAGGGAACATGGAAAAATGTGACTCAGGCTGG